TGGGGGCAAAGACCAAATCCTGGAATTTCATCATCTCATCCAAGTGGTCCAATTAATAATTAAAAGCAGTGTGAATGAATTTCTGTTTATTTCTGTTAATGCCATGTCCCTTTCTAGCAACATCAGTGGAGTTGTCAATCAGATTTGGCTGGAGTAGGATGGTGAGGGACTGGAATTCTGGGAGGTTTAATACAAGAGTACTAGAAGTGTTTTCATATGATGAGCTCTTTTAAGCCTTAGTATCTTTGCCTTTCCAGTCTCTGAGCTCTTTTGGACAGCAACTATCTTCTGCTTGAGCAGTGCCCAGTGCAGCAGTGGCCTCTGGGTGGTACTGCTGCACCTGTGTAAGTGACCCACGAAAAATTCAGATTTCACCTCCCTTTCCAAGCAAGCTGCTTGGAAAAGTACTATCTTTTGTGGGGTTTTTATAACTGTGTCAGTTATAAATGGACAGCTACAGTCTTGTAGCCTGTGCCAAGACTTAAAACTGACTGGTTTTGTCCTGTTAGAATCAATATCTGAACACAATCATGCCAAAAGCACTTGTCCGAGTCTTGGCATTGCTGTGCAATCATCAGACATCTGTTTAGGGAACTTAAACAGCTATTGCAGTCAAAATAATAGGCAGCCAACATTTCAAAACTACCTACTCAGGAAAAAAAAAAAAGACATCATAATTTCTGGAGTGAAAAGGCAAGCTTTTTCTGGCATTCAAGCTATTTTTCCACACGTTCAAATACTAAAAGAAGCAGAAAAGTGAGAAATCATTCAGAAAAGGATGAAAGCATTATGAAAATAAGCCAATTAAGGAATTTTAAAAGTACTAGTGTTGCTGTAAATAATGGTAGCATTGAAATTAATAGTCAAACTTGGCTGTAAGATGAATATTCCAGAAAACATTGGTCTGTCTTCATATTTTCTGGTTCCTCGAGGGAATTTCTACCCATGGAACTTTGAATTATATTATCTCTGTATGTAATTCAAATCTTGGAATTTAGAATGAGAATCCAGCTAACCATATTTGTAGCATTCTAATTTCAAAGACACAAATATTTAAACAATATTTGGGAAATATATGACTGATAATGTATTTGAACACTGTTTTTATCTGTTTTGAAAACTGAACATTGATTTTATCCATTTACCAAAGTAACATGCATAAAAGTAACAGTAAAGCCTTTTGTAGCAAAACAGCAGTTTTCTCACAGCAAAATTGTCTGCAGGAGCAAGCACACCAATTTTTACATGAATGACATCTGTGGAAAGCTGAAGAAGGAAAGCTGGGAATGAGCAGTATTTTTTCTGCCTCTTCCACTCTAGCGAGAGACACCCCAGACACCCAGCCAGAGGAGGGCACATGCTTTGAGAATTCTGGTTTCTGGGTTTTAATGCAGAGATCACCAGGACTGTTTCCCCAAATCTTCATTCGCGAAGCCTTGCCATGATGATGACCAGGACCGTTTAAAAAGGAGGGGAGGGAAGAGGAGAGGAAGAGAAGTGAGGCAAGGGAAGGGAAGGGGATGGTCTAAAGCATTTGAAACTCAGAGTGATTTGATACGGAACTGATTAGTTAAAATAAAATAACAATCCATTGAATTACAGCTGTCATGTATAATTTTGTCTAGATGGATTTACAAACTAGCAGACCCTAAACTTAATGCACAGACAGTACCTTTTGATACCACAAACGCTGATTTTCTGGAGCAATTGGGGCTCACCATAATGATGCAATTTTGGATTTGATTCTATAGTAAATCCATTCTAATAGTGACTACAATGTACTTCAATTTAATATTAATTAAATAGGAAAAAAGCCATAAAGAATCATGGTAGTTCAGAAAAGGAAACAGTATAAAAAAGAGAAAGTCAATTAGCATGAAATTAGCAACAGCTAGGAAGTCAAAATGTTTGCAAGAGACATTGAGTATGAAAAATCCATGCTGTAACTCCAAGAAAATGTTTAATTGCTCAAATACTGCAAAGCAAATGTATAAATTTAACAACAACAAATGGCTAGGTCTAGGTAGTATCTATGCAAAAACTCTATGAAGGCCAAATGGGACATCGTTGAACTTCTCACAAACATTTACCCTACCATTCAAAGCAGGTTTGGTGCCCAACAAATTGGAAGCATCAATTGGGACATCAGACTTGAAAAATACATGAAAACTAGTCTGGTGAACTACATTTCAGTTATTCTGATTTTTTTATCAAGGCAATTTTCTACAAATTATAATAAATAACAGCATACAGAGGCATCTGGATATGTATGATATATTGGAGGAGAGTCCACACAGATTTTTTAAATCAAGCATGCTCATGAATATATGAGTGTTTCTGAAGAAGCCAATATGCTTTCAGTTATGCCAATTTCTTTAACTGAGTACACCTGGATTTACAACAGTTTTTTCACAGTCTTTCTCTAAACTATCACGACATAAGAAAACATGGAGTAAGAATAGAAAGAAAACAATGGGTTAGAAAATCCAGTTTTTATTATGGAGACAGGAAACAATGAGAGGTTCAGCCTGACTTCTGTGGGGGCAAGGCTGTATAAATTAGGGCTTGTCAGCTGGGAAGAAAAGTAACTGAGTTTTATATAGTCATGAATGACAAAGAGACACTGAATAGGGAATGATTAATCATTCTGTCTTTCTCAGAAAGCCAGAATAAGGGGCACCCAATTAAATTACTAGGCAGCAGATTTTAAGTAGATAACAAGAAGCAGTTTTTAAAACAATACATTATTAGATTGTAGCTTTAATTGCCACGCGGTGTTGTAGAGCCCTAATGTTTAAATGGTTTAAAAATGGCACTCAGCAAATGGAATATTATTACACATCAGTGGCTATCGAAAATAAAGGATCCAGATGTCCTGATCTGACAGCTTCTGAAAGATGAAGAAAATACCTCAATATTCTTCTTGTTTCTGAGATGTTTTCTTTGCAAAGCTACTATCAGCCTTTGCTAGAAGCAGAATACTCGATTAGATGACTTCTGCTGGCATGGTAGTGGCTCTATTTCTATAAAACTACTTTCACAGTGATTTTTCAGACTGAAACTGCACTTTAAAACAATCTCACCAGACTTGGAGTTTACTGTCTATGCTCTGACCTTATTGTTACACATCCTTTGTATAACCCAGACTGGATTACTGCAATTAATTCTTTACTGGCTTGCCTGAAAGGCAGGTCCAGCCTGCAGCTATTGCAGTATAAAGCAACAGGTTTATTATCAGAAAAGAGCAGATGGGATTTGTGGACTTCCTGCTTCTTTGTTCTCTGCATTGGCAGCCTATTAGTAACTATACTGATTCAGAAATTCCTACTATAGGACACTGTGTAAGTAACATCCTGTAGTAGATTTAAGGCATATAATTTCTCTGGTCCAGGAATAACAGGTTTCATGGGCACATTATCATGTTTGGGTTTGGTGTTAGACAAATTTTATCAAAGCCTTAAAAAAATGAATGGAACTATCAAGTCTTCAATGTGCTTCATAAAGTGCTGATGAAGTTCTGGGTTGATCGAACTCATCAGCTACTGCTGGGATACTGAATGGAGCTCATTGACAATTTATTAGTAATGCAAATATTGGGAGGAGAATAATTTGTGTTTGAAAACCCCCAAAATTAGGTTAAATATTTTAATGACTGTGTTCAAATCATCTTTGCAGAAGACAAGCAGACCAGCATGAACACCATGAGACAGTGTGTTCATCAACATACATTTTACCTGCCAACACCTCTATGCGAAGCTACAGTATTAGTGGAATTATATGTTAGTACACTTAAAATAGAGCAACAAATACAACATGGTTAAATGCATTTCTATCCTTTACTAGATCCACCTGTCTAGGTAATGCCTGGAAAAAACGGGGTTTCTCACACTGGCTGTGAGCATGGTAGTTGAAGCACGCACAAGTTTAAGCTGCTTTCTGCCCATACTGCTGGATGGAAATCAGGCTTACAGCAGTCCAGTAAAGAGAGAGCCAATCTTCTGTCCCGTTTTCTTGGGGACCAGATGTAATAACACTGTTCCTGCCGATGCTCAATTCATCTGAACTGCCTGGAAAAGCTTTTGTACCCATGCTAAGACACTATGCTCAGTCCTAAGCTTTCTCTCTTTGGGAACTCAGTTCTGAAACAAGTGTCTGCATGGAACATTTGCACAGGCAGCACAAAGAGTAGATGGCATTTGAAAATTTGCAACTACTTGTACTCACAACTGAGAACAAGCATTCCCATGGTGACTCTTCAGACCCTATGTCATGATGTTACATGCTCTAGCGTGTCTTCAAATGCGTCTCCTGGTGCATCTCCAAACTGATGTCTGCATCAAGATTTTTTAAATTATGCAATATCCAGACTATATCGTCATATTCCTGTACTGACAACTGAAAATATCAGATATCCATTTCCTGGTTTTTTTGTTGGTTCACTAAATCACTTGCTTAGTTCAAAGAAAAAAAGTGATTCCTCCACTCTGAATCTCTTCTGAGTATTCCACGGAATCATCAAAGTTGGAAGAGACCTTCAAGATCATCTAGTCTAACAATTAGCCCACTACCACCATAATCACCCCTAAACCACAAACCCAAGCGACACATCTTCAAGACATCTCTTGAACACAACCAGAGATGGTAACTCCACCTCCCTGGGCAACTTACTTCAATGATTAACCACTCTTACAGTGAAAATTTATTTTATAATATCTAACTGAACCTTCTCACCTCATTGCATCATCCAGCATTACTCTTATTATAAACTTCTTTTTGGCTTTTTTTTCATTGTATGTTACTGATGTCAATAAACTCCATATTACATATACTCCTAATTCATCTTTTAAATCATTTTGCAATCTTACCGGATTAACAATGCACTTCTAAGAATTAAGGCTAGTACCATTACTAGTGATAACAACCTTAGCCCATTTTGTCTAGGGCTAAACATATAGAAACTCGATTCTTTTACCTCTGGAAATAAATATTACAGCTACCTGTAGCAGTGAAAACTGGATTTTATTACTCACTCTAATGACACATGGCAGAATTGGAGCCAGATTGTTTTTACTCTCAACATTTTCCCATTTCTTCTTCCAAAGGGACAGAGGAGACACAACAAAAGTTTTGGATTAAGTGCTATCTGGTGGTAAAGTAGTACACTGGGAGCTGTACTTATGAAAGTTACATCATCTGGAAGTCAATGCTTTGTGCTGTGCTCTATCTTCCTTTCCAGTCCTTCTTATAAGACTGGGAAGTATCATTTGCACTGCAAGAGTGCTTGAAAGACTAACAAACAACAGTGCTACTGCCCTGTGCATATGCAGAAAAAAGTTTCCAGACTATAAACAGAAGAGAGAGAAGTGTGACAGGTTGGATGATTTCAAAGTTGACTTATGCCCTGAACAGAAAAATAGTGTCTGTTTCTATTTGCTCAAGAAACCTGAGCCAGCAACAAAGCATTGGGAAGGCAACAGTGGCTGATAAGGCTACTGCTCTGCATAAAGCTGATACTCAAGAACTGAGTAATGACTGAGTAATAGCTATTATTAGTAGGTAGACAAGCAAGTTACATACTTAGAATCACAGAATCATTTAGAAAAGACCTCTAAGATCATCAAATCTGTTAACCTAGCATTGCCAAGTCCCCACTAAACCATGTCCCTAAGTGCCACATCTACACATCTTTTGAATACTTCCAGGATTGTGACTCAACCACTTCCCTGGGCAGCCTCTTCCAGTGCTTGACAACCCTTTTGGTGAAGACATATTTCATAATATCTAATCTAAACCTCCCCTGGCTTCCTGGAGATTTGTTCCCAATTTTGTATCAGTTCTTTAGGAAACTTCAGGATAGTTATTTAGGAGATTGTCTCCTCTTCATATAGCTAGAGGAAATGAACTCAATGAGGGTTGTGTGATGGCTGAGCAGTCTTGGGCAACACTGAATCTTGGCTCACCTCCTAGGTGGAAGGAAGGGACACAAGCAACGGTTTCTTACAATGCTGGACAATGAAGGATAATGTAAAAACACTACCATGAGTGAATGTTATTCACCACTTTTGCAAAGATTTCCACGTATCTGGACTGCGTTAAAGGAAGACATTTCAATACAAAGACATCTTCCCCCTCAGGTGTTCTCCTATACATCAACAATTACATAGTTAATGCAGTTTTCTGCAATGCTTGGTTCCGTGTTCTTGCTTCACCAGCAATGCAGCTTCAAAAATACGTCGCTTTCTTCGCTATGAACCAAAACTCCCAGAATCAGCACGTTTCAAACACCCGGGTTTTGGCTGAATTAGCTCCTTTCAAGCCCAACAAAGCATCTACTTGTGATTCCCATTCCCCTCACACACTCAATCTGCGTAATTACCACCCTGACACCACCAGGCTCTAATTACACGGCTCACGAGAGGCGCGGCGCTTGGGGCGGGCTCCAGCCCGCGGGCGGGGCGGGGTGCGGTGCGGGGCGCTGGGGGGAAGGCATTTTTGTTTAAAGACCCCGGGCTCCTCGTGCAGGTGGCTTCTGTTGCCTTTTCCACGGCTGGATGGCGGGGGTGCCGGGTGGCTCTTTGTTCCTGCCGAGTGCGTGTGCGCGGCGCTTCGGCTGCCGGAGTGGGAGGGGATCCCGCCCGCGCCCTCGCTGCCGTTAACGGGAGGCGCAGGAGCGGGGGCGGGCGGGCAGCGCAGCATCGCAGGGCCGGGCCGGGCCCCCAGCGCTGCGAGCGGCGCTCCCCGGCGCTCCCGCCTCCCCCGGGGGCCGGGCGCTGCCCTCCGGCGGCGCGGCGGAGCAGGTGCCGGCGGCAGCGGGCTGGCAGGATGGAGGCTGCCTTGTTGAAGCCGGCGATGATGGCGGAGGTGAAAGGGAGCGGCGCCGGCCCCGGCGTGAGCGCCGAGCTGGAGGTGAAGAAGCTGCAGGAGCTGGTGCGGAAACTGGAGAAGCAGAACGAGCAGCTCCGGAGCCGCGCCGCCGCCGCCGTGGCCAGCGGCCCGCCCAGCCCGCACCTGCTGCTGGCCCCGCCGCCGGCCCCCGGAGGGCTGCGCCCCGCCAGCCCCCCCGCCCCGGCCGCGCCTTGCATGCCCAGCCCGGTGCCCACCCTGCTGTGCCCGCCGGAGCCCCTCGCCTACTTCAAGCCCTCGCCCGGCCTCCCGGCGGCCGGCGGCGGGCTGGAAGGCGGCGGCGGACCGGGGGCGGCGGCCACGGTGCTGGACGAGGTGGCGGTGCTGGAGCTGGAGGACGGCTGCGGAGAGGACGAGGATACCTGGTACATGCGGCTCGGCCCTGCCCTGCCCCGCCCCGGCCCGGCCGTGTCCCCCGGACCCGTGTGTCGGTCGCCCCCCGGCCGGGCCTCTCGCGGCGGTCTCCTGGCACTGCTTAGCATTAGCCCCCAAATCCACTTGATCTCTCTGCTTAGACTGAAATTAGCTGTTTTTTTTTTCTTTTTTTTTTTCTTTTTTTTTTTTTCTTTTTTTCCCCTTCCCCCCTTCTAAATCGTGCCATCGGTGCGGTCGGCCTTGCCGAGGGAAGGGGCCCCTGTACGGGACGCGGCTCAGGTCGAGGCTTCAACCCCCGGCTCGGGGGAACAGTGCTCGTTTTCCACTTTGAGGTAGATGGTTCAGATCTCAGCCTAGTTTCAGCCTCCTGTTTACATAAGGAATTAAAAATAGCTGAATTTTGTTCCGTGAAAGCCTTGATCTGAGCAGCGCTGCTTCCTCATCCTAAAATCTCTGCCCAATTGTCTCCCATCTTCAGGGATTTGGGAGGGCTTTTGTGTTTTAGACATTGATCTAAATTGTTGTGTATCTTAACACGCCCACGTAGCTCCAAAACGCACAGTAGGGTGCTAGTAAATTAAATAAATCGGAAACGACTAGCGAATGAATAAAGCAGAAAATAAAATCAACCTGGAGGAATGGTTGCGCTCACTTAAAAACAAATGGAAGGGGAAATTACAAGCTACAGATAAGTATATAAGGCAGGTGCCTCAAAACCTGTTTCAGCAACGTGGACGAACGTCGTAGGGACAGTGCTGGCATACTATCTTAGCCATGTAACCATGTTAAATGTAATTGATCCTAAATTGTTTTGAAATGTCAATAAGAATATGTAAATTATCTATATTTAAATAACTATTTTAAGTATCTTCAAAGCTTCAATGAAATATTTTTAAGGATACTAGTTTTTGAATTGAGACAAAGTTTATGTCAACTGAGTATAAAGCAGCTGAAATGTGTTTAAACATTCTTATTTTTGGTAGAAGAGAAAGGGTTCAAAAATTAATCTAAATGCCATAAATGTTTCTGAGTGCTGGTTGTGTTTGCTTTGTGGTACACAATACCATATTTCTGAAAATTGCTTTTGAGAATCATCTACAAATGGCGTGGAGATTTTTGTCAGTGTTGCTTCATTGTGGCTACGATTAGTCTGTGCAGGGCTGGTTTGGGCTTGTCAGTCCAGACTTAAATCAAATTTTCCATTGGTTCTAACTGCTAGGTTTCTTAGCGTTAAGAAATAGCAAATTTGATTGATCGTGTCCTGTTAAACAAGATGTTTTCCATGTTTACATTTAAGAATGGTAGAAAGTCATTGTTGCATTGTGCCTTAGTAAGATTCCCAATTTGATTTGCTCTCTGGGAGCAATCCTAAATGCTTTTTGGGCATCAGAACTTACCTTTGTCACACACACGCGTCCACCGGCAGAATTTCATCATAGGGATTTGTTAACAAGTTTATTTCACTAAGATTGAGTTGTTTTAGCCGTTTGTCAGCAAACGGCTGTCTGGAAAGCTAAACCCCACTGCATATCATAGTTGTTGATTGGTAATTTTAGGCCTTAAATACCTTTGGTGGTTTTTGGTTTAGGTTTTTTTGTGTGTCTGTGTGTTTTGTTTTTTTTATCTGCAGTTATAAAAAAACATAAAAACATAAAAACAACTGACCCTGTAGAACTGCAGAGATATCAAACCACTTTTTGGCATAGAGCTTTTTACAGGAAGGTCTGATCATCAGTTAGATGTTTAGCTTTTGAAGCAGTTCTGCAGGTTAACAATAAAGCTGAAAGGTTTTCTTTGCTTTTTGGTTTTTTTTCAGTATCATTTTTTAAATGTGTGGTCAGGCAGTGCAGGAGGTCTGGGGAAATTAGTCCTCTCCTCAGAGAAATTCAATAGTTGATGTCTGCTGGGATTACCAAGAGAGCAGTCACAGTGAGGATATTTATTCTTTGTAAGCTCGATAGACAGTGCTGATTGACTTCAAATGCAAAAAAAACCCCATGGAGCAGACACTGGAGAGTGCTTGCTCTGGTGGGACTTAGGTAGCTCTTGAGCCAAAACCATGAAGGTGAAAGGCTGCTGCTACCTGCTAGTATCCCTTGGGGAACAAAATCCTGTTTATTTTTTGGTCTTGTCGTTTGCCCCTGCTGTGTGCAGGCCAGATTCCTTTGTGGTCTACAGGGTATTCTGGTGTCTGAGAATCTGCTCTGACTGTAACCCAGTGTATTGAAGGTGGTCAGGCCAGGGAGCTGCAAGATTAGATACTGGGAAGAAATTCTTTACTGTGAGGTGGTGAAAAAGGTTGCCCAACGAAGTTGTGGATGCCCCATCCCTGGAAGTGTTCAAGGCCAGATTGGATGGGGCTCTAAGCAGTCTGGTCCAGTGGAAGGTGTTCCTGCCCATGGCAGGAGATTTGGATCTAGATGATTTTTAAGGTCCCTTCAAGCCATTCTGTTGTCTCCAGCAGCCAAGAATAATTTGCTTCCCCGGAGATTTGCGCTCTTCCAGGTGAATCGAGTCTGCTGTGCTTGCTAATGTGCCGGGGTTGACAGCAGCAACCCAGATCTCAGCCTCAAGAATTCCCCCATGAAATCTGCTTTGGTACCTGGCTTCCTAATGTGCCTGGCCATCTGATTAATTGTCTGCTCCTGTCTGAGAATAAGGCACATACACTAGATTTTCTTGCATATATTTTTTTTCTGCTGGAGTTGAATATCGAAAATTGATTTTCATTGTTTCTCACCAAATGTTTTGTAATCTTTACAAATATGACTGATACAGCATTTGATTCATTTGGGAGAAGATATGGTGTATGAAAATTATAAATATATAATTTTCTATATATAATGTAGAAAATAAGGTGATTATATATATTATTATATTGTATATAATAAGGTGATTTGCAACCGGACATGCCTATCTCTAACTGGCCTTTTTAGCCACCAATGCGCTTGCAAGAAACGTGGGTAGAGCCCTTCCCAAATCTTCGTTCGCGAAGCCTAGCCATGACATGACATGAATAAGGTGATTAAATTGTGATAGGTAAAGGTGTGAAATAGTTAACAGTGAAATTGTGATTAAAATATAAAATCAAATATTGAAATTGTCTTATCTCCAATAAAGATAAGTATAAAAGGGACAAGTGAGAGCATCTCTTGTATGTGTATAGCACCTAATACATTTGAACTTTGGGCAGTGCTGAAATGAAGACAGTGGTAGTGATGAGATGGAAGGTTTTAATGTGAAATCTGGTTCTTTGTTTTGTCATGCCAGAGCTGTAAAGTTTGTATTTTGCCACCTAGTTTTCTGAGGAGGGAAGCAAGAAAACTAATGTAATTCTTCTACCCCAGAAAGTCTTTCTTAATTAGATATCTTCTTGCAAGGCTTCATATGTTCTACATTATTAGTAGCTAATAGATAAGAATTTTAAAAAGCAAACTTTTAAGTGTTGGATATGTTGCTGATATTTTTGTGTATTTTGGTTAAGGTTGTACGTCTTGCCTACCAAGACTCACACTTCTCAAGAGAAATCATTGAATCCTCTGCAGTGGTGCAGGCGTGTTCTGGATCATCCAACTCCTGAGACAGAGGCTGCAAAACGTTCCCTATGCTTTAGGTTGGAGCAAGGTAATTTTATTCTTTGAATTTTTTTGATAGTTAGGTTGGTATTTTTGGTCTGGTGTTTCACTTGTCTTTGGTGTTTTTTCACAATTTAGCAAGCTTTACAAATGGCAGACATGCAGTTTTTTTCATATGTATACCTAAATGCTAACAAATGTTTGAATTTTTTTTTTCTGATCATGCAGTTTTGAAGGTGTTTACCTCCTTTGTTATCAATTTCTTCTCCTGCACAACTTGTTTAAACTTGGCATCCATTGCTTAAAATAGTAGACTAAGAAGAGCCTTAACTTGACTGATAGTACTACTCTGTTGGGCTCTGGGTTATCTCCAGTACTGGATCCAGTCTGATGGCTGTTCCGTGCCAGTGACTTTGTAGAGTTATATCTGGGTGTGCTGAATTTTGTTTTAAATAAATATCAGACAGCATGATTCTTACTTTTTTTGCCATTTAGGGTCTCATTAAGATTGTACTAAGCGTTGTTGAAGAAAGTGATTAAGGGAGGATGTTGTCTTAAGGTTTATAATTCACTAGGAAAGAAGATGACAATGAACAATACAGGAAGCAACAGGAGATG